GGAATCCGTATCTCTAGTTTGTCTCCCTCTCTGATTTGAGGTCAAGCCCTCTTTGCCTCTCTAAAATCATCAAGCAGAGCATAGTGGAAAGTGTTTTTATTGGTGAGATTACAGAGGGACCTTCAAGTCCCTGCTCTTCTTTCCCTTTCAGTTAGATCCCTCGTGTTCTTCCTCTTTTGGGTCAGGATATCATTTACATAACGCCGTTTTCACAAGTACTCTACGTGTAGGGTCTCTATCTCCCGCTGCCTGTATAATCTTTGCTTTTCAGCAGCTTTTAATTCCACCATGTCTGACAAAAGGAAAAGTATACTTACACAAATAGACAATTAACTTTTCAGCTTGTATATGGCTCATTTGTAGAGGGATGTCACTGAAAATGGCTTTTCATGTCAGACCACATGAAAATCAAAACCATTAAACTGTTCAATATAAATCAGTTTAAATTTTGGACCTCATGAGTAACCAATAAATTAGTAACACAAATGACAGGCTTAAAAGCTTCATTCAAAATTCTCATATCATTTTGAACGAGACGGACATCTGATTTACCATATTACTGTCCAATGCACTTCCTCAAATGACCTCCTAATGCAGGAAGAGTCAGTGAAGTATTTCAAAATAAGTTGAGTCACATGATTCTGTGGGACTGGTAATTTAATATTTGTAATCATTAGGTATTTCACGTTTTTAACCATGTGAATGTTCAATGTAACTATACATTTGAATTAATCCATAAAGGGCTCGACTTCCATGAAAGATAAGTGACAAAGAAATTCCTCGAGCTTAGTTTTGTAATTACATTGCCAAAATCTAACATTAAATATTAAATGAATAAACTTGCCATGGATTTTAGTGTCTGTACAAGTGAGTGACAGCACGTTTTTTGTGGAATGACCCATATATGTATATTCATACAACTAAACTAGTTATAGCTGAAAGCGAATGCAGCCTTGTTGGTGTTCTAATATTTCTATTAGCTCACTTCAAGTGGATTTCACCTTTTCATTTTGAAGTTTGTCGGGTTTGTGTACATTTCCTTCACGGACTGAGGAAGTAGTCATTTGGCAACATGTAAATATTTCCCAGTTTTATTTTCATTTCCTGTTCTTGTTTTTTCTCATCTAATCCACCGATATTTGTTTGCTGGAGCAGGAAACTGAAGCAACATGAACCTCTGCTGCACATTCAGGCTTTGGGCCCTTTGATAGCCACTTTCAATGCAAACACGAACCTTTATGAAGTGCCATACTTGAGTTAGAGATTAAAAGGTTGCAGTTCAAAGCTTTAAGTAGAATAGACTGTCTCCATCTGGTAAAAGATGGTCATTTGAGGGGATGATAGTATGGAAGACACATGCTTTGCACTTTTATACAAACTGCTTCTTTTCTCACTTCATTTAAAAAGTCCATTGTGTGTTTGCGGAGCATGCACATTGGACACTTCCGGGATCTTCAGACTGGTTTCCACAACTTGTGATGTCACTCAATTAAACAAGTTTGATTTAAGATGCACACAGAAATGACTGTGCACAGACAAACAAAAGGACGTTTAAACATCCAGGGAAAGTTACAAGTCTCAATGAAGGGCACATGTATGTAAAGAATGGATAATATTCTTCAGAAGGTGTGGATACATTTAATTTATAGATTTCAGGATGACAAACCTAAGACCCTGTGACTGAAACTTGATTTAGAACTTGGACTAATGATCACCCCATGACTCAACGGCTGTGAGGTGATTGTTTATTGCAGCCAGGAAAGCGTAAAGCGAAGCACATTTGAATAGTTTAAGAAATAAAGAAACACATCAGAAATGTAACATCCATGTACATGACTCCTTATAACCCAGCTGATCAGTTCCCTCAAACTATTAAAAAAAAAAAAAAAAAAGGTCTATAGAGCATTTTAAATGACTACCGATTGCAAATTCTGTTGAAGCAGTGTTTTCCAAAAGGCAACGATTTTATGGCTTAGATTTGCTAAAGAACGTTGTTCACTACTGTAACATTCAGGGTGATATTTTGAAATCCTGGCGACATAAAATTAGTTACTTTTATTATCCCTGTGAATATGTGATACCATAACATGCCTTTAAACCAGTAACTTGATTCACGCAAAAGGAAAAAAAAAAGACAATTGAGCAAAGAAAAAGTCAAATACAATGTCCCAAAAACTGGGTATTGTATGTAGAAACATTTAGGAAACAAGGCACAAGGAAATCTCTTAATGAACAAACTCATCAAAAGAGAAGGTAGGACTCACTTTCACACCGACTGACTCATCAAAACTCATTTAGCGAAGTGAGGATCTATTCTGGACTCAGTGGACCACACCGCTGTCCCAAAACATGTTAACACTTCAGACATTTCATGGAGTCCAGAGAAAAAGAAAATTGACACCTTGATTAATATGAGAACGTCTGACTGAAGGAACCCATAACTTAGACCGCTTCTGTACCTCACTAATGAGATGATGCAAATTGACACCTTGATTAATATGAGAACGTCTGACTGAAGGAACCCATAACTTAGACCGCTTCTGTACCTCACTAATGAGATGATGCAATCATTTCATAAAGCGATGATGTAAAACTTCTCCATAAAGAGCTACATAAGCGTGGAAAGATCATTAAAGGGATCTAAAGCTGCAGACCACACGTGCAGCACCCTAATGTTTATGTACAGACATTATGGAAATCACTGTTCCCGATAATAAAAAACATCCATCCTACAGTGAAATATGGAGGGCACTGCCTCCGATACGGACATACACTGGTAGGCAAAAACTACCTTCTTCATTTCACATTATGGAAGGCACTGCTGCCGATAACGTATTCGGGACGAGAGGTGTACATGTACCGAGGGAGCGGCACCGGCAGCCAGAGGCGGGATATGAGAGACGGCATTTTCCCCGAAAGACCGATCCAGTGTCAGTTTAACAAAAAACAACCTTGAGCCCTTGTGCTGCTTTCAGAGAGGTGACTGACTGTTCAGCGTTGAGTCCTGCCGGCCGTCGGTCAACATGTACACTTCCCTTTAAGCAGATGCTGCTTTTGTCATTTCGACAGTATAACTGTCATAATTATGGAAGACACTGCCCCCGATAATTACATTTTTTTATAAAAGGCAATAAAAAAATATTTATAGTGAACTCTGCCACTGATAAATAAATAACACAATAAATAGACGTACGGTTTGTTTCAGTGCCACGTGGTTGGAGACTCCTCCCTGTAATGTTTTCTGTGGTTTGTTTGAAAGGCTGACAGGTTTGCCCGGATTCAGGCGATGAGAAATTCAGATTAGTAATTATTCAGAACTTTTCTAAAAGATCAATGAAGCATGGATGAGGCCAAGTTACAACGTCTTATTGTCCAAAATATTTTTCAAGATGTGTTCTATCCAACAGAACTTAACATCTTCAGCCTTTTTCAGCAACTCCTGAATCTCTGACAAACGTTGAGGAGCTAGA